CGTGCATTTTAAAAGCTGACAGACTTTGCCCAATTGCCCTCCAAAAAGATTATGTGAAATGACACTCCCACCTCCTCACTATCTATCTCCACATCACAGCTGCACTTCCTCTTCACCAGTTTAGGCTCCGTGGTCCAATGTTTTTCTCTCTCTTGCCCCTGTGTTCCTCCATTGTACTCACTTGGCAAAAGTTCAGCCCTTGTTAAGCCCAACTTAGCACCTACTCCAAGCCTGTGCCCAAGCAGGCTGGACAAAACACACAAAATCTTCACTTTAAATGTCTGACCATAAATCTCCAGTGACAATGAGAACTACTCAGCAACCAACTACGTTTCCCTAGTTAGTTCACTGTCATTGTCTCCATCTCCAAGATGACTATTCCACTCCTCTTCCTATCTTCCCAGATCTCCAACACTCCTCCCTCTCACCCCTGCTCATTCCCAATTGATGAACTCACTAAAAAAATAGGGACAATCAAAAGAGAATGATGTCTTCTCCCTTGGGCAGATGCGGCAATCTACTTCATCTACATGCACGTAACTCTGCCTTCTTTCTTATTCCAATGGACATGCCATGCCCTGTGCCTCCACTTCCCTATTCCATCTCTTTTTTTCCTGCTGACCCAGGTCTGTGCTCTCACAATTATCCCCTCTGACAACTCTCAAACTGACATCTCCAGCCTGCACATCCATCTCATATATCCAACTACTGACCCAATAGCCACCTGGGTGACTAACACTGTAAGTATCTTAAACCTGACATGTACAAAACAGGATTCTTAATTCCCTACCCTGCCCTCCATGCGATCTTCCCCAGCTCAGTAATAACACCATGGCACCACCCTTCACTCTACAGCTTGAACTAGAACCTTGGGCTCACCCTGGACCCTCCCTTTCCCCCACATCCACACTAACATGAAGTCTTGACTGTTCTATCTTCAAAATATATGAGGAATCCTACATTTCTCTCCACTCCACTGCCACCTCCACAGTCTCCCATCATCTCTTGCTTAGCCTACTGCAATGGCAACCTACACAGCTTGGCTGCTTCCACTCTTGCCCTCCAACTATCTAATCTCGACAGAACAGTCAGAGTAATCTTTTTAGAACATAAACCAAATCACAGCACTTCTCTGCTGAAAATCCTCCAATAACTTTGCTTCGCAGAATAAAATCCAAACTCCTTACCATGCTGACAAGGCTTCTGTGCTCTCAGCCCTCCCCCTCTTCAGCCTTACCTCTTACCAGTCTCTTCTCCTTTCTGTCCACTCAAGAACACTGGCCTGGTTCTTCCGCAGTCATGCCAAGATCATGCCTGCTTCAGGAATTTTGTACTTACTGTACTTGCTCTTTCTTTAGGTCTTCACATGCTGAGCTCCTTCAGGACTCAGATGTTCCCTCCCCAGACGGGCCTTTCCCGACCACTCCATCTTTTTTTTTTTTTTTTTTTTTTTTTTTTTTTTTTTTTTCGGGG